TACAAAATACTTGATGAGCACTCTACAAAAACTGTCAGGTCATCAAAAACAAGGAAAAGTCTGAGAAACTGTCGCAGTCAGAAGGAGCCTAAGGGAGACATGGAGTAAATATAATGTAGTTTTCTGGATGGGGTTATAGAAAAGAAAAAGGATATTAAGTAAAAACTAAGGAAATTTAAATAAAGTTTGGATTTTAGTTAATAAAGTGTTGATGTTGGACCATTAATTGTGATAAATGTACCATGATAATGTATGATGTTAGCAATAGGGAAACTGGGTGCGGGAATGTGGGAAATCTCTGGGCTATCTTCATAGCTTATGTAAATCTGAAACTATTTTAAAATAAAAAAAGTTCATCAAGAAAATTCATACCCCATATTCTACCCTGAGGAGCTGCCTTCTCTGAAGTGGGGGAGGAACCACATAGTCTGGTGAGACAGGTCTTGTGAGCTCAACTCAACTTGGGCAGACATTGTTCCATATTCTGATTCCTGCACAGGGATCAGCAGGAAATTTAAGGGCATTAGGATTAGGTGCATTTTTTTTATTTATTACTGTTGCTAGATTCTGAAGGCTTTCCTGAAATCCCTCGATACCTAATTATTTATTCCTAACCTGGTATCAGCCAGCCTTTTACTTCCTGGAACTGTAATCACTGAGTTCCTGGCCTCCACTTTGGTCTCTTTTCTGTCTCTCACAATTTGATTTATTTCTAAAGAAAAATCGAAACCTGTTAGACCATAGAGTAATTTTTTTTGAGTTAATGTATATAATGGAACAGATCCAGAAAAAAATGGAGGTTTCACTGTTAATCTTAACCTCATGGGCAAACTGATCCCTGCAGACCAGGATTCAAGGTGGCTCTTGGCCCCTTCTTGGCCAACAGGGCAATCCTGATAGCAGATCTGCTTTAGTTTTCATGTGGTATGTATACACACAAAACCATAAATGTGGGCATGTGTGGGAGTGTGTGCATGTGTGTGTACATGTGAGGTTTTAGGCCAAAACCTAATTTGATCTTATTCTTTCTTCTTTTACCATACGATATTTTCTCTGAAGGGAAAATTTGACCAGGTTAGAGGAGCAACTATTGGCTAAAAGGACACACTCCTGGTTTTTTAACATATTAAACTATTTTTGAAAAATTTTGGAGTAAATGTAAGATAAAATATTTTTCTAGGTTCTTGTAACTGGGCCAATAGCGCCTCTAAAACTCTTTTTAGAAGAAAAGAAAACCTATGTCTGATCCATTAATTAATGCAGCAGAATGTAAAATAGAATTAATTTTAACTTTTAAACCTTAGTCTATATTTACCTTTAGAAAAAAAGGTCAGATTTTTCTTTACAAAAATGAAATTGAGAATATTATGCATTTGAATGAATTGTTGACCAAGTTAAGTGACCCTCATTTGGGTGATTTGGTAAAATTTGTAGAAGCAATGTCCAAGAAAGCAGTCTAAATTTAGAACTGTGCTTTGGGTAAGACATTGTATGCTCTCAAGAAAATATATTTACTCTAGAGCTTGTGAAAATTATCCCCTGGTGATTCCAACAATACTAATAAAAATGAGGACTTTTTGAAAACATACTATTGGTACAGAAGCATAGAATTTTTGCCTCTTCTGACTGGTCATATATTTGAAAATATCCATGCTGGCAATATGTTATTTTTTTTTCCTTTTCAAAAATCATTTTAGACTTTTTAGGCAGAAAAAAAAGAACTCAATTAGCTACTTCCTGAAACAATCTACCAAATCTAAAGATGGATTTTATTTATTTATTTTTTTAGTACAAAGAGGTTTTTATTGACATTATAAGAAACATTGTTCTTGGTCTTTGTTACAAAAGGACTAAGTGGTTCTGAAAGAAAAAGTCTAGTCCATCTGTGATAACTCGACCCTGGGCTGGAGGTGGGCATGGGGCATCACTCCAGCTGCAGGAAGATGCAAGGAGGGCCTGGGGCCAGACACTATGCCTACAATACCTAAATGTATTTACATGTGTTTTTTTAAAAAAGGATTACCCATTTTATTTTTTAAAAATCTAAAAAAGTGAAAAAATGAACTTGTATTTTATCTTACATGTTTGCAGGATACATAACAGTAACTTGTCAGAAGAGAACATCCACCTATCAGTTAAAAACAACATGGGAGACGAGGTTACAAGATAGCTCAGACTCTGCTACACTCATTTGCTCTCACCTGGCTGGGAAGCACACAGCGGTGAGCTCCAGATGGGTAACACCAAATGGTCCCTTGCATTGACACAATTAACATAAAATAAGGTACATACATCATAAGCATCAAAACTGTGGCTCAAGAGGATAAGCCAATGTATGAGGAGTAGGGCCAGTCTAATTAGTTCTTTAGAAAATAAAACAAAATGGTTTGACATATAAAAACATTAAACAGAGATGTAAAACAAGAATACAATGTATGAGCCTACATTATAAAGTAGGATGTGACACCAGTGAGTCAGTGAAGAGAAGGTTGGAAGAGGCTTGGGGAGGGGGAGAGTGCATCATGCCATAGGAAATGCCAAGCCTACAGAGATCCATGTCCAAACAAGACACTTTCAGATGGCCCCAAAAGACCTTTCTACCACTGACTGTCACAACAGATCCATCCTCCTGAGATTTCCAGATTGACAGAAGCCACATATTGAGTTGAAATATGAGTGTCTCCTGCAAGTCTAAAGGCAGTAGCAGGGAAAACCAGCTTGAAAAGAAAAAGTAAAGAAACAGGGCAACCCAGAAAATCATCTGAAACCAAAGGAAAAAGCAGAGGCACAAGATGACAACAGTGCTTATTCCAATAGCTGTCCATCCTTCCATGTGGGGCAAAGATGATATAAGAAGTTAGGGGAATTGAGAAATGCAGGTCAAATCCAGGAATAATCAGGAGAAAAGAACTCAGAGAAGGACAGGGATTGGGCCAAACCACAAGAACATGAAAGGTGAGACTAGTCCCTATGGATTTTGAAGTTCTTGGAAAAAAAAGATTTAGGGAACAGAACACTGATTTTGTGACTTGATCACGACCTCTTTGAGTAATCCATAAAAAGCCTTGCTTTTCCCACTGAAAAGTGGTAGAGACTTGATTCTATTGAGCTCAGATCAGTAGTTGCTTTTTGCTTCTGGGGTCTGTTCCAAAGCAGATGCATCCATTGATTTAAAACAAGGTGCTGCATGTGGGAGGATGGCAGGATGTGAAGGAGAAATCTCAGCAGCCCTCTACTAATTTCAGGAACATCCATTCAGTTGAAGACAAACCGAATTGTCTTAGCCACAAAGTCCCAAAGGAAGTTTACCACCACGCTGAGATACTTGGTCTGAGAGAACATAGACATCAGAAAAATGGGCTGGTCCTAATGTTCTATTATCTAATAATATTTTATTATACTTGATTGTCTTTCCAATGCTAAGTTAAATGGAAGTAATAAGTGGAAAAAGCCACACAACTGAACCATGAGTCACTTTGGATAAATCCAGTTCCAAGATCAATGGGAAGAGTACAGTAAGTAGTCTCAGGTATTACTATTTTAATAGTTTGTATATTAAAGAGTAAAATGGTAGGTAATCCATGTACTCTGTGCACACATAGTATGTTTTTATGTGTACTTACAGCACATGGGAAGTAGCTGCACTATTAAAATATTTAACTGTGTTACTCTAAAACAAATAACAGATTAAACCCACATTAAGGACTAACTGCAGAGAACATTTAACTTCTTAAGTGGATGCAGAACTCAATAGATAGGGTATAAAGGGGCATCCATACAGCTAACTTCTTAAGTGGATGCAGAACTCAATAGATAGGGTATAAAGGGGCATCCATACAGCTACTAACATCTTACCTGGTCTCTGAAATATCAAAAATGGTTGAAGCAATTTATTCTAATTATCATTGTATGTGAGTTCTTTCTGTTACAACTAAATTTTATAAATTCCTGAAAATAGCATGTTTAGAATAGTAGTCCTTCACTATAGTGGGGTTAACATATGTTAATGACAGACAGCTGTGGGGTTGTTTAAATACTTATGTACTTAGAGTTACATATAACCAATTCTCAGTTATCTATGATAATGATAGACATGGAACTAATCAACAATACAGCAAACCCATAAATATACCTCAAACTAATTCTACCCAACAGCTTCTATCTATAATCTACCTAATTTACCAGATCAGATGAAAGAAGCAACCTGTTTGAGTGTTATCAAGTGGCTTCCTCTCTCTCCCTGCAATGCTGAATGGCATTTATCTCTCATGAACAGAGGGAGAGGAGGCAAAGTAGATAACTGAGAACTGACCATAGAGATGTAGACTCCCCCATCCCAATGTACACTATGGACAGGAAGAATTTTAAACCCAAACTGTGAGCAAACAATTTAATTTCAAGAGCCCCAAATTTCTACTTGTGGTAAATGTCAAAAGTACGCCCTGAACTGAGTTAAGGATGGGAGCACATCAAAAATCTAGGATCCAGGCTACAGTTCACCCACAAAAGGTTCTTATAGTCACTAACCATTCTTGTGCCCAATGTGGGAATTAGAAAAATAAAAAACAAAGCAAACATTGAGCATATGTAAAGGAAAATTTTAAAAGGTAGACATTTACTCTCTTGGTTAAAGGCATACCAACACCTATTTCCTTTGAGTAACAGAGAAACATGTCAAATCCTTTCATCTGACCTGCCTTCAAAAAGAAAGAAGAACATGCACATCACACATTTACAATGGTTTACTAATAAAGGGGACAGACTAACAGTTTTTTAAAAAAGAGGGTGGTTTGAGTGTAACAATACTGACCCAAACTGAAATGGAAGACAGCTTCTCCCTAGAATACTTTAGGGTTTTTCAGAGTCCTTTTCCATGAAAGGAATATACTTGAAACACATCCCAGTTAGTTGAAATGAGATTGCTAAAAATACATACAGAACTAAAAAAAAACACAAACCAGCCCAAATGACTAAATTTAATCTTCTCAACTCCTAAACGTTCATGTTTGTTGGCAGTCCTTTTTTCCTAGTGCCTGCTGTATAACTGTAAGGAATTTGCTTTCTTCTGCAAGGAAGGTCAACAGAGAACTCATGTCCCCATTGGCCATGTTGGTGGTGCTCACAGACAGTGCTGGCAATGGGAGGGATGTTCGTGGCATCATGAGGTGGAAGGAGCTATGGGAAAGATTCTGAAGAATACTTGGGCTCAGGGCCCCTGACATTAGGCTGGTGCCACATCATTTACGATGGTGTCAAAATCAATCTGCACCCCTTCCAGGTCATGGCTGTTGAAACTATGCTTGTCACCTGGCTAGCACTTGGGGAAAGTAATTCAGAGTTGTCGGTGATGGCCCCGTGTAGCAGGCAGTTGGCTTCTGAAATAGAGAATGAACAAGTTTTTATGTCTTGCTGACTGCAGCCAATGGTTTGGTCATAGAACTGACCAGAGTAACTCCACACATTAGAACAGAGTTGATGGGGCTGCACTTGCACCTCCATCTTGATGCCATTGACCATGCAGGTCTGACTTGTGTCACTTTGCTGCAGGGTGAGGTTGCCCATTGGCATAGCCTGGTGCCTGCTGTTTCTGTAACCAGCACAGGGCAGGTAGCTCCTGACAGCTGCCAAACTTGACAGCTGGCTCCCAAAGCTGGGGGGCCCTGGCAGGCTGCTCTCTGGACCTTGATATGTATTGATATGAGGTAGTGCTAACATGCCCTGGCATCTGCTGCCCTAGGCAGCCTGCCCCCCGGGTAGTGCATGCTGTCGATGAATAGCTGATGAGTCAAGTTCCCCTGTCCCACTGGATATTGGATTGGCATGCCATTCATTGTGCTGACAGCTGATTCATTGGGCACCACCAACAGGCCAAAGTCTGGCTGGCTCCCATTCCCTTGCATGGTGGTGCTTCTCAGCTTTGCCACTTGAATCCCAGCAGCACAGGCATTGTTGAGTGAGCCGGGGACCCTGGGCTGCCTGTTGAGGCAGTTCCCATACTGCTGGACTTTATAGGGTTGTTCATGGAAGGCATTTCTCTTGGTGCCAGTCCCACCATTGTGGCCCACCAGGTGCTCTGGCCCACCGTAAGTGCTTCACTGCTCCCCAATGGACTGATAGACCCCCGCTGGGCCAGTCCCTTTCCCCAAGGGATTCTGTCGGTGGGAACCCATGTTGTTGTACAACCCAAAGGCTCCAGCTGGCTGAGCTGTGGATCGCTGGCCACATTTCAGCCTAGAGGAGGACAGGTAGGCACTGCTGGAGCTGACCTTGTTTCACTAAATGGGCACATCAGCTTTGTTGGCTTCAGGGCAGGGCTGCTCCAGCCCACCATACTGCTGGTTAGCATGGTGGTCTGGCAATCCAGGTTGGTCAAAGTCACCATGCCCACTCTCCAAGTTGGGCTTGTGGAGCATTTTGCTGTCATCAGAGAGAGCACTCTGAAAGTGCTGTTCATACTCAGCTTGGTTCTGAGAATTTTAAGTACCGCACCATGTCATCAGGTAAGAAATCCTCATTGATCAGGTTGGTGAGGTTCATATCAGCTTCCATGGTCTGGGACTCCAGGGTGACATTATCAGTAATGCACGGAGGACAAGAAAGCAAGTGGAAGTGGTGGGACTGGCCACCCTCAGGCCATGTGTAATTCTGAAGCACTAAGTTACGCTTTTCCAGGGATGGAGGTAAAATGGGGAGGTTGAAGCTATTTAGGCCGTTGAAACGCTGTACCCCGGGCAGTGAGATGCTCTCTGAGACCATCCTCACTGGGTTGCCTGCTCTTTTCACACCATGGCCCAGTGAGTCCTGGGGCAGGAGAGGGCTCGGGCTGTAACTGTGGGCTCTGTCATTGCTACATCTCCATGGTGGGTGGACAGGGACAGGATCTCCATGAACTTTCTGCTGTCCCCAAGCAGGGCCATAAGGATGGGTTTGAGAAGTGAGAAAAATATTTGGAATTTGAATGTATTATGTTGTACAAAATATTTGGGGGTGCCTTTAAAAAGTGCTATTTTTGAATGCTTTTCAGTATTCAAAGGCAAATCATGCCTGATGTTTATTATAACTTCCATTAAAGCATTTTAACAGGAATATGATCACTCAAATTTCAAGGAAAATCATGTTTGAATCTCCTAGCTCATTTTTATTTCTTTTGATTTTCAGCATTGAGAAAAGTCAAAAGCATGGATGAATCTCACAAATATAACATTGATCTAAATGAGCCAAACACAGGATATATCACATGATTCTATTTGTATAAAGCTTAGAACAAGGCAGAACTAGTAATCTGTGGAGTCAGGGTATAGTTGCCATTGTGGGCTAGTGACTGGGAGGAACACAAAGGTGCCTTGTGGTTTTTATAATATTCTGTTTCTTGATCTAGGTGTTGGTTACATGGGTGTGCTATTTTGTGGAAAATTAATTAAGCTGATTACATATACTATGGGTGCTTCTCTCTATCTGAGTACAACACGCTTCAACAAAGAGTTTATTTAAGGCCCTGGACAGATAACTCGGTTAGAGTGTCATCCCCATAAGCCAAGGCTATGATTTCAATCCCTGGTCAGGGCACATACAAGAAGCAATTAATAAATGCATAAATGAGTGGAACAACAAATTGCTGTTTCTCTTTCTGTCTCTCCTACTCTTTTGAAAAAAATCAGTAAAATAAGTTTACTTAAGACAATCAGTCTGATGTTCTTTGCCTCAAGACAGGTTACTTTTAGCCTATGATTTCTGGTAGAGCCAATCTTCATTTAATTAAAAAAACTCCTGAAATTATAATTATAAACCCACTGAAAGTTTTTCCTGAATTTTAAAATTGGTCTTTCAGAAATGACTAGAGTTTTTGCTAGGCAGTGATCTGAGGAAGCCACTTGCTCCAAATTCCAGCAGGTCTAAGCATCTCATTGCATTTTTCCCCCTAATGCTGAGGGTCAAAGCATTATAGATGTACTGAAGTCAAGGGTATTTTGCATAAAATTCAGAGAACTGAATCTTGATTGTCTAGAAATGCTACTGTAGTATAGGTATTATTCATTCATATTTCAACAAAAATAAAAAAATGAATCAAATATATACAGCAAGTGGAGGTCAAAATCATTGAGTGTGATTTTACTATGCTAATTTCTTAGCCCCTATCCAATTCCAGGCATTAACATCACCTCAGAAAGAAGATGCTGTCATCTAGGGGGCAATATACTTTATCATTAATTGAGTCCAATCTTCCTTAAAACAAATAGGCAGAGCTGTGCAGAGAATGGAAGTTTTGATTTGGCTTGCTAGTGAATAAAACTGGTATTAGCACAAATGGCTATGTAGAACTAAAAATAGTTTGGCTTCTCTGTCATTTCAATTTTTTAAAAGAAAGTCATTGAAAATTGTTCTTGAAATACAGCATTTTGTATTATTACAGAGTGTATATATTTTAACAGATTTGAAAATATTTAGTATATATCCTGGAAGCTCTTATCACAGTAGACCACTGCACATTAAAAAATCTGTCTGTCATTTAGTGGTTGTTATAACAACAGCCTAGTTCCAACTGGAGAGAACTAGGATTACTTGTGCTGGCTCATAAGGAACTATAAGCTTGCTTTCCTCCATGTGCAGCTACAAACTGCCATTTTGTGTGTGTGTGTGTGTGTGTGTGTGTGTGTGTGCGTGTGTGTGTAGGGATGGGTGGATAACATCATACCAGAAAATAAGTTTCTGGTGGCCATGAATGAAGGACACATCTATTTTGCTGTTTCTTGTTTATTTACTTATAAGTGATGTAATGATGCCTTCCCAGGTAGACATCTTATAATTACTTCTGATGCTTTGGTTTTTCATCAGAAAGCAATTTTGTTTAAAGGGCAATTTTGCATAATTTAAACAAAACATTTAAATTTTCTCTTTGTTTGCTGCTAGAAATCTTGTTACCATCTGGTGTCATGGCCATTTATGTCTGTAGGGGGTGTGTGATGCTATTAATGGAAGTGCCTGCTAATGCTCTCCAGTTAGGAGGGTGGATGGTGGTCAGGAAGAGGTTCTCCATGATCATCTGATCCCGGCCTGCTATTGTCACATGTTTCAACATGTGGATTTAATTCTGAGTGGGAACACTAGAAATATGGCTATCCAGCATCCTATATAAGAGAGCAGGGTCATGCACTTGAATTAACTCAGAGGGTATTGCAAGTTTCTCCTTTAGATCTACATAACTTTCTGCCTTTAAGTGTATTAATTTTGAAATATTCATAAAAAGCAAAACACTAAAAGTGTGTTTTTTTGTATGATGAATCTGTGGGTTGTGATATTTTTCTTTTTTCTTTTTCAATTTTCTACAACCATAGTATTTTCATTTAATAACTTTATAATTATATCTAATTAGTTAAATTACCCTATTTTTTGGGTCTTCATCTTGAATTGATTTCAAATGCACAGAAATTTGACAAGTAGAACAAAGAATTCCTGAATTTGTTCATCAAATGTCATCAAATGTTAATACTTTATATAACTACAGAATAATTATAGAAAGCTAACTTTTTAAAATTAGAATTCAGCAGTAAGGAAGAGGTTTTCCTCTTTATCTATCTATCTATCATCTATTTATAATCTATCTATATATCATCTATTTATTATCTATCTATGACGCATCTTTATATCAAAATGAATTCATGAATGTTTTTCAGTCTATGAAATACAATCCACTTCTATAATTATTTTATTGCTCAATTTGCCCAGATGTGGCAGTTGGGAGCCCTTTCAAGATGCCTCCTAAGTTCTTTGCCACAATAGCATCCTCTTTGATCACAGCCTTATCCCCCAGCATCTGGAGCTTATTTATAGCTTGTCAGGGAAGGCAGTGTAGAAAAGGCAGCTTTTTATCTGAGCTGTGGAAAGGGCTAGGATTAGGACTAGCAAAAACAAAATGAGAATGGACAGTGGGCAATGCACTATGTCCATATGTAATGTTTATGGGGTTAAGAACAAAAACAAAACAAAACAAAACAAAACAAAAAACCCCAATCATAAGCAAAGTAAAAATTTAAGAAAAAGATGTTTAAAGTTCATCTCCACTTTCCCCTGCCTCAGCGCTATAATTCAATCACTACTTCTGAAAATCCCTGGCTTCTTTTATTGGACACTAGTAATTGAAAAACAAAATCAGAGTGCTGAGTGAATTATAGTTTATTTTTTATCTTGAAGAAAATTTTGTTAGTTCACCATTTTCTTTTGCTGTTAATATAAGTTATGCTTTAAACTAGAATTTTATCTACAAACCATATTTCTAATACAAAGTATCCTATTTTTGAAATAAAGTTTTTCCTTTCTGATTACAAAGGTAATATATATGTACTGTGGAAAAAAATTAAATAGAGAAAGGTGGATAATGTTTGGGTAAAGTGTCAGTTAGTCCTTATCAGCTTGTATATAAACTAACTAAGCTTTGGCAGGAAGGTTCAGAGATCTATTCATTTTCCTGTCATTTGGGACAGCTTTAATTATGTCTCTTTACAACTTTGAGTTGAAAGAAGATTGAGAAGATGATTTTTTATCATCTGTATACTCTGGGAGCTGGGAATGGCTATTTAATGGGATGTGTACAGTGATACAGCTGTGAAGCAAGAAAGGAGCCTTGGACTATAGACATTCAAAAGATTTGGATCCAAGATGTAGGAGGAGTAAGTGGAAGCTATACTAACCTCCTCCTCCCAGGACCAATATGGAATTACAACTAAATCATAGAGAAATCATCTAGAATAACCAACTAAACACTAGCTGGAGAGAAGCCTTACAACCAAGGGCAGACAGAACAAACCACTTCACCACCACATGACTGGTAGGGAGTGTAGAGGAGACATGAGAGAGGGCTGGCTGGGTTGGCAGAAGCTGAAATGCTGGAGTGATATTTCAGTGGCTGGGGGTTCCCCTTGAGAAGTGTGGGGTATAAACTCCCAGCTGGGTTCCCCAGCTTATAGCTTCAGAGCCAGAAAGGAACCCAAATACCATCCAGCTATGAAAAGCAGTAGAGATTCTGTCCTCTGGAGATGCAGAGAGCCTATTAAAAGGTCAAAGCACAAAATTTCATATGCAGCTACTTACCCTGGGTGCCAGCAAAGGGAGGGCAGAGTGGATTAGAGACACTTGAGGAGTGTGTTGTTGGTGTCTCTGGGAAGAAAACTGAAGGAATAGCCACCAGGATCCATGTACTGAGTCATTTCTCACACTGCAGGGACCATTACTCTCACATGAGTACTCTGCTCTGAACGATATCAGCCTGAGGGGAAGTAATACCCCCACCTACAGGAATTACTCTGTTCCACCCTGTGGTGCTTAAACCAGGCTGCAGATCACAAGTTGAACAACATTGCTTCAATAGCTGATTAGTGTTAACAGCTAAGGCAGAAAGTACAAAGCAGTCAAAATGAGAAGACAAAGAAACAGACCTCAATTGAAAGAACAAGTGAGATTTCCAGAACTAAATGAAATAGACTGGAGGCAAGCAATTTATTAAAAAGAGAGTTTAGAGCAGGGATGTCAAACTCATTTTCACCAGGGGCCACATCAGCCTTGCAGTTGCCTTCAAAGGGCCAAAATAATTTTAGGACTGTATAAATGTAACTATTCCTTCACTGTTAAGGAGCTGAAATTACATTCGGCCCTTTGAAGGCAACCATGAGCATGATGTGGTCCCTGGCAAAAATGAGTTTGAAACCCCTGGTTTAGAGTAATGATTATAAGGGGAATGTCAGGGGAAAAGGGTAAGGGTTTACAGGAATAAGTATAAAGGACACATTGATAAAAACTAGGGGTGGGTGGAAATGGGAGGGAGGAGAGGAGATCTGGGTGGGTTGGGATGGGAGTAAAGGATAGAAAATTGTACTGCAACAAAAATTAAAATAAAATTTTTAAAA